TAGTAAACAATGACAGCCAGTGAATATATGTCAGTTTTTTGAGAAGTTGGAAATCCAGGCACAAATGATTCAGGGGGTCTGTAACCGTCAGTACCGAGACCTTTTCTGGTGTAAACTGTTTGTGTCTTGGACTCGATGACTTCACTTATGCCAAAATCACCAATTTTGACAACTTTCTGATCCAAGGATAAAAATACATTATCAGGCTTGAGATCTTTGTGCACCACAAGTTTATCATGAATGTATAAAATTCCAGCAAATAACTGTTTTGCAAAATCAAGTGCAAGTTCAGGATCAAATTGGATTTCGCCTTTCTTTCGATTTTCCACAAAACCTCTCAAGTTATCTTGGTTACATTTGTCCATTGCAATGTACATATATTTCATTGGACCTTGTTGGTATTCGTCTGAATGAATCACAGAGACTACATGAGTGTGAGGGTTCAGTAGGAGAAGAATTTTTGCCTCTTCCACACTTTGTTTGTTGTATTCAACAAATTTTATTGCAATCGGACGAGTTCCATAAGTTGCACTCGATATTTGTCCTTTATATACGTCACCATGGTTTGAAATTTTCTTGTTACGAAACATTAAAATAGATTCGGATAGATTGATCGATTCTGTAAAGTGTGAATAAAAATAGAAAATCAAAATGTTTTGAAGTATTTATGATATATATAAAAATAAGTTATTGCCAAAAATGCGAACCAGGTAAATTCTGAGAGATTTAAAATATTTCAGATGCTGACTGCTCCTTAACCTCACTAACCAAGTAGCTGGAAGCACCCAATATTGATCGAAAGGAAACAGGTTACCGATTCCTCCACCATCAAGTCCATGCATTTGAAATTAAATAATTGGCTACTAATCCTATGCCCATCATGGACTGGTAACCGGACGAGAGGCCGGTGTTGGCCATATGATTGACCCGCCTTATCACTTTTTGTTTCCCACGGATAAACATGTAAATCTTAAACAAACCAACCTTCACTATCTTCAGCTTCAAGTTCTTCGTTTTCCTCCATTTTCAGATTTCCCTTGAGATTTGTTAATTCTACAGTTGGGTCAGTTAATGCCAAGATAAATGGAATCAACCTACTGAATAAAAATACGTTGAATCACGAAATCAAACGAAAACCTAAAACATCATTAGCAGTATTTAAAATTGAGAATTGAATATATATGGTTCATTCTTTAGAATCGGATCGAGATATAGACAGTGTTTTACTGACTCTGACTCAATAGCGTGGAAAATTTCTTGAAGAAAACTTGCGCATCGCGACGACGTCAAAGTTACAAGAGAGATATGGACAATGCTTAAAGATTAATAACGAGATACGATCTAGCGGTGTTCATCCTTCGCTCTGACTACTGGCTACTGGTCCGAGATATGATGAATGCATTTGCAAAATCTGCAGCAGATCCAATCTCACTTTTGTGAGATATCGTGTGCATCTAACAGACAAACGGACGGACAAACAGACAAACAGACAGACAAACAGAATAATACCTTTCAACATACTTACCGATTAAAATCGATGAGTAATAACGGTTGAATTATTAGAAAAAACGCTTCGCCTTCGCTATTGTATGTTTGAATGGATTGTCACTACTTTGAATAAAACTTAGATGCAAAAATTAAGTGGTAATTAAACTAAGATCATTTAACCAATTGACCATTTCGTATCCAACCGTATATTCTTGCAACGAAACTACTTGTAATTATATGTTCGATATTCTCTCAAAACAAGACCCTATACAAGCAAAACTTTTCACTTAAACTTTTCTATGGGTATCGATATTGGCTGTGCAATTAATATGATGAATTTTTATCTATTCTGAATTAATAGAATGACTTGAACCTTGGCCAAAGGGCGTTCCTGGTGTATTCGTACCAAGATGACGTAAAACCTGAACAACTCTAACCTGATACACATACTATGTTCAGATTGTGCGCCAACTTGGTACGAATACTTCGGGAGCACCGGCCAAAGTAAATATATTCATCCTAAGTTATATTAACCGAGGAAAAAGTTTTAAATATATGTCAGGGAGTTTGAAACGCTCTAGTCGCAATCCTTGTAATTTCTGGGAATTTCCGTAGTTAAAGCTAAATCAGATTTATAAGAGTCGTGTGGATAAACTTTCCATCTTACTGCTCCTAAATTTCATTTAAATGCGACTAATTAGCGAGTCTCGATACCAATGGAGAGACAATCAACGCAAACCCATCGCCAACGCTCAGCAAAGCAATAGCTTCTCGCGTTCTCTAAGCTATGGCCCTGAAGTGACATTTTATTGTCAACGTGGAAACTACATATTGCAAATAACTAGCTACTCTTAAAAGCGACTCCGCAAAAATAATTAGAATATATTTGAGATTTTTCTGATATTGAAGTCAATTCTAAAAATGCGACACGTTCGACAAATTCACCTTGAAAAATTGTACATGATGTCCATGAGGTATTAAAATATTTCATGTCTGAAAAGGTTTTTATCCATACCATACATAGTTTGTCGGCCGCTACAGTTGTATTGAATGAAGTAATAATCTTAGATAAACACGGATTAAACTAAAACAGACCTTGTTTAGAGATATTGAGAAAAAACCTCATAATGAAATTAAATAGGGAATTTTTAGAAACTTTATATAACATGATATGCTACAACAATACATTTTGGAAAAGACTTGTACACTCTATTGCTTTCATGGTGTCTTACTTCACTAATCCTACAATTTCCCACTACTTCTGATTATCAAAATAGTAAGCACCGACATGCTTCCATAAGTAGTTGGGAAGTCTATCGGTACAAGGGGTGGTTTGGATGATTATGTAAATATTTAACAAAATGAGCTAAGTAGTCTAAACCAGTAGTTCCCAAAATTTTTGTACCATCGCCCCCCTACAGTAGTTTATACAACTTCATTGCCCCCCGGCACTGCAAAATAAATTGACAGTCTGAAACGAATATATTACAGACCAAATACGGAGACAAATCATAGTTTTATAGTGTTTTTGATGGAGATGGATGAGCTTGGTTTTCTTTAGCAAGTTTCTTATTATATCTAAAATTACCTCGTTTTACTGATGGAAAGGCGATTTAGTTGTTTTGATAGCAATAGTGTCACGGCTGAAAACCCCCTTTTCACCATATCAGAGGTCGGAAATGAAAGAATCCAGGATTCTACCTTCTCAAAAACCGCCGTGTACTCTTGCCTTATAGCATTTAACTCTCTAAATTCACCCCGTTTCACATTAAAATAATGAATTCAAAATTAATTTTTCAAAACTTATAATAATGATTTAGGTACATCTTATTTATCCCTACAGCCTGATGATCTTCACCAAAATACATGATATATAACGGTCTTCGGTAAAATCCATCCCCCATTCCGTCCTCCAGTCCGATCACCAGTTCATAGAATTATTCAGCCATTTGTTTTGGATTCGTGGACTTGGATGGCTCAGTGGTCGGCAAATTTTAAGTCGCTCGCGGGACAAAATTTAGAGTTGCTTTTCTTTTGCGGATCGCATATATTTTTTGAATGTTAAAAACGGAACATCGTGCAAAAACTGCGACAATTCGTGAACTCCACTCAGTCGTTTTATTAAAAAATTATTACAATGACATTTAATGTGACGCCAAGATTGGAAGATTTTCTGAATGAGCATCACTAATCCTAGTTCTTTGCTTGTTCTTTGTAATGTTCATTTTCAAAAATAATTGTTCGCACAAATATATACTTCCAAACATCGAAGTGAATATTTTTGCATGGTTTGTGAAATTTTGATAAAGATTTCATTTAAGAAGATACATTCTTAAACAAAATTAAGCAGTGATGAATCTATCGAGTAGAATATGAATTTGATTTCCTTATTGCATTGCACAAACATCAACTTTTCTGCGTGTTTCCAATTGTCTAATTATAATTAAATTGTACGCTCGTTGTGCGAGTAGCTGTTCAATATGGTTTTTAGGATAAAATGAAATTTATTCTAAACGTGTCTAACGATAAATTTTGTTACGTAAAAAAGTGTAATTTAATCCCCGAGCGTAGATAATAAATAAGATTAATTCATCGTTAAAACCGCTGTTTGGATGTTTACCAGCAAGATGCAAAAATAAACGTAACAATGCCCCCTTTCGCATCCGCTCAGACAGACTTTCATGCGTGGTCGTGAACATTACCTGATTTTCGCGATTTTGAATTATATTCGTTAGTTTTTAGTTGTTTTTCGGAAATTTAAATAAAATAAGTCAATGTGACACCTTGTCCTCCTAGGAGTTTCAGTTTAATTACAGTAATCAAAAACTAGTGTAGAAATAGCTGTGATAGACTGGGCTAAAATTCTTTATCGGTACTTTAAAAAAGCAGATTGTTGAATGGTATGAATCAGAATGTTAGTTTGAAACAAATACTTCATTTTATAGGCAACAACACGCGAAACCACTCTTAAAATAAACACTGAACATTTTAGAATGGTAAGGTATGGGGAAAATGGTCGGGGTCAAAGGTCGGGAAAAGATCTGTTCAGTGAAGCGTCCCGGGCCAGATCACTACAGATATCCCGATCACTTGGTTACGCAAACCACCGTACCTTACTGCGAAGACGAGTCCAGCAATCCTTCCGCGTGTGACATCGCCCACGTGATTTAAATCTACGAAAGCACGCAGAGTACGGTAATCAAGTGCACGATGCGCCGACCAAAAACAGGTTTCACGAAATCGCCTCCCTATCGCCCCCTTCGACTTTTTCGCCCCCCCCCCCCTCCAGACACCCCCCCCCCTCTGTATCGTTTTCGCCCACCGGGTGGCGATATCTCTCTCTCTGGGAATCACTGGTCTAAACAAAAATGGCTAAACCCATCACTCTGATCAAAAATCGTTTCTTTTTTCAAAACTTTTATACAACTGTAATCAGTAATCAGTAACTGTTTCTTACTAGTTGGAAAAAATAAACTTGACTTAGTCTGTAGAAACAAAAAAACGTGCACACGACAAACAAATATTGAAAAGAAATTTAAATGTTGATACTTTTCCAGAATTCATGATCAACAACCTGCTGAATTGTTGGTCGTTGGTCTTCATCATCGTATGTCATTCTTGTGATCAAATCAAAGGCCAAGTGAGTGTTAGGAATCAGTAAAGCACTTGGATCAATAGCTACTGTAGAATCTAAGATTAGCCCTTTAGCCCACTGTTTATTAGACCACAATCTGTACAAGATGTAACCCAAGGAGGTAATATCATCTTTGAAGCTGGGATTAAATATGAAAAAAGTTGAAAAATCTTTAATAAAACTAATTTTCACATTTTGCATGTCAAGTGAAAACAGAACATTGGTTTTAAATATTCCATGAGCAATATTATGTTTATGCAAATGTTGTAGACCACTAACTAACTGTTTTGCATGTATGAGAGCAAGTCTAGGATCAAAATGAATTTTGTTTTCCTTTCTCTCCTCATAATAATCATCAAGAGTTTGGAACTGGCATCTTTCAGTAGCAACAAAAATTTGACTTGTTTCATTCAAACGACCACTAGCAATAACAGAGATTACGTTTGAATGAGGTGGAAGTTGCTGAAGAGCTTTTAGTTCGTGTAGAAAGTCTTCATTCCGCAAAGAATACACCCATATTGCTAAGGGTTCTGTAACTGAATTTGGAAGTTTCCGTTGACCTTCATAAACTGTGAAATCCAATCCTTTTTGAACCACATTGTCTTTATACCACAAGATGTCATCAGTGAGTTGTATGCGATCTGGAAATGTCACATTTAAAAAATTAATTTGAATTAAAAAACAATTTATAATAAACCTTATGGGTCAAATGACAATTTTAAGCATGGTCACGGTAAGTATAAAGTTCAAAACACTTTTAGTGTGGCACAATATGTCATAATATTTGGAAAAAATTGAAGAAATACGAATGCCAAGCACTAATACCTTTAGTTTGCAATGCCACTATATTTTGAAAATTAAAGCCATGCACTCATTGTTTTATGTTAAAAATGTAGTATCCGTATTAGGTGTTCAAATAAATCGAATAATTGGACGCAAATAATTGCGTTGTATGTGCAACACTTTGGAATCAATACTTAATTATGAGGATGAGCTCAAACCCAAATAATTAACTGTCGGTAGACGAAATACCAGAATACATTTTTCTACAGATTTGTTTTTGATCGTACACGAACATTTACGGTAATACGCAAATTCATTAAATAAACTTTACTAAGATTTTTTCAGCTAATATAATGAAATTCCGATAACCGATAAAGCTTTTTGAGTCAAAAAAAGGTTATTATGCTTCAATACAAGGAATGTTGAAATCAACTTTCCTTACTTTTTGAGGTCAAAGCTGCCTTTCTATTCTTTTCTTTGGCTTCAAGATATTTTGCAAAGTGGAAATTATTAACAAGCTTTGATAATGAAGTTGCAACTTGTGAAGAATGACTGAAATTAGATTGATTAGTTTTTGTAGAAAAAGTTATTTGATTGTTACGAATAAGTTTTATCACCTATTGATATTGTCCATCCCTACATGATAACAGCCATGTTAGATACACCAATGAGAATATATATTCATAACAACATGCTTCATCAAGGATAGGTGGGACCAGAATTCTTATTTTGAAATTATGTTTATTTTAGATTTGGTATTGCCTCATTCGAAAAAATACTTCTGCAGTGGGAACTATTCTTGGTAAATCTAAAATATATTGTTCACGAAAAATATTTGTGAGACAGGCACAATTTGTAAAACAATTACAAAACATGGCTGGCTCAATAGACAAGGGTTCTATTTGCTACCGCGAAAATAAAATATGGGTCGATTTCCTACGACCTATATATACCCTTGTTTGATAATTCGCAAGCTAGAAACCAAGTTTATTGGAATGTGTAAATAGGAACATTCGAGTAGAACGAACAAATTGCTGACTTCTCAATGCTGTATAGGGGTCATGTAACATGTAACCACCGGTCGGTCATGGCTTCCTCCACTATAAAGCCCATGCATCTGAAACAAATAAATGGTTAACTAATCCCATACCCGACATGAACTGCTGACTGAACGAGAGGCAGTGGTATGCCATATGATTAAGCCGTTTATCGACTTACCGCTCCCCCGAGATAAAAATTATGACTCATCCTTTTTCAAAAGCAAGTTGGGAACATTTATGAAGGAAGACTGCAAGAGAGTAAAATTCAAATAACACAGCAAAATAAATACACAAACCTTTTAGTTTTCTTTTTTGTTGGCAAATCTGATTTGAAAGTTCCATTTTTAAAATGTGGAAGCAAAAGTTCGTCATGAATGCTTGTTTGAGACCTGTCAGGTGCAAATTCTTCCTGTAGATCTCGGAATAGTAAACCTTAACACAAAGTTTTCTTTGATAAGTGTTTAATTTCAGTTAGCAATAGGGAAATATCTCAAAAACACCTTACTATAAGAAAACGTTTTCAAATAGGGAATAAAAATAATATAACGAAAAGGTTGGGAACCACAGCTATAAGTTATTGAGGAAAAAATAAAATGAAAAAAATATCGCAAACTTCACGACGCGCAGATTAGAAATAGCAGTTAAATTACAATGTATATGTCAATGGCCCGATCCCCAGCACATCTAGTTGACCAACCATCAAAATACCCATGTATTTACATTTCAATCAATTTTTCTTACCTTTTACATTCGGTGGAGCCATATATTTATGAGAGAGAACCTCGTTTATTATTGGACGTTTACGAGGAACAAACTGCAGCATCCATTCCAGTAAATCTTTCGCAACTTCTTTGTCTGGAACTAAAAGTCCATCTAGGTTCAAGTTTTTATGGTTTTTCATGAAATGATTCCATAGATCCCTTTCGTCGCCAAAGGGATGTTTCCCGTCACTCCATACATAGTAAACAATGACAGCTAGTGAATATATGTCAGTTTTTTGAGAAGTTGGAAATCCAGGCACAAATGATTCAGGGGGTCTGTAACCGTCAGTACCGAGACCTTTTCTAGTGTAAACTGTTTGTTTCTTTGATTCGATGACTTCACTTATGCCAAAATCACCAATTTTGACAACTTTTTGATCCAGAGATAAAAATACATTATCAGGCTTGAGGTCTTTGTGCACTACAAGTTTATCATGAATATATAAAATTCCAGCAAATAACTGTTTCGCAAAATCAAGTGCAAGTTCAGGATCGAATGGGATTTCGGATTTCTTTCGATTTTCCACAAAACCTCTCAAGTTATCTTGGTTACATTTGTCCATTGCAATGTACATATATTTCATTGGACCTTGTTGGTATTCGTCTGAATGAATCATAGAGACTACATTAGTGTGAGGGTTCAGTAGGAGAAGAATTTTTGCCTCTTCCGCACTTTGTTTGTTGTATTGAACAAATTTTATTGCAATCGGGCGAGTTCCATAAGTTGCACTCAATATTTCTCCTTCATATACGTCACCATGGTTTGAAATTTTTCTATCTCGAAACAGCAAAATAGAATCAGAGAGTTTGATCGAATCTGGAAAACCAAAGTAACACCTGAGTAAACAAGCACTATTTGATAAGGTTTACAAACTTTTCAACTCTCACAATCTTCTATGCTTATCGGCTGAATGATCGTAAAATTCATATAATTTCATGTAATAAAAGCAGATAATTAGTCACCTGTATCTGATAAGCTGCTTTCCATACATCTGATCTTAGCTGGTGGTTCATCAGCACTTTCCTCAAATCCATGCTTTGTTGTTTCATCAAGTATTTCCATGTTAACATCATTCATGTTTACTAATTAATGCTGACAAAAACAACCAACTGCAGTCAAGAGCTTACGGCTAGTTTGCGCTGCATGGTTTTGTTACAGCACAAGCTATTAAAAGGATTTAAATACGTCCAGTCCTGACATGAGTAAACTAAGGTCCGTGGGCCAAAATCCAGCACGTTGGGTTTTTCAATCTGTCCGGTCCGACGCTACCACAACCAAACTCAAACCAAGTTTGGATGTTTTGGCTAAAAACTAGTTTAAGAAATCTGTTGAGATTGCGATTAAATTTAGCGGCGAGACGAGGCTCATTGTATTCCTTGTTTGCTCTTGTAACACTGTAAATATTGTTTATGAAATGTAACTTTTTACGTCACACTTACATGACCCGCCAGTCTAGATGGGCAACATTTTTTACCTCTCGTTCAAAAACCTTTCTCACCCCTGGTCTAGACAAGGGTCGTCCAACCCCTGTCCCGCCGAAGAGTTCCGAGTGGCCCGTGCAGTATTTTTCGAAATTAAATAAACTAAACTTTACCTGATGTCTCCCACAAATTTGAGTCACAATTGACACCTCCCATAAAAATTAGGGGAAATAATATTGAAAAAATTATTCTTCATCTTTCAAACAAGCGACTAAATGAAAATTTTCGAGACATAACTTCCAATTTAATTCGGCTCTAGTGTATTTCAGCCTGTTATATTACCCTCCGTTTACAACGAGCCGTGAATTCTTACATAGGACGAGGTGTGTATTGTGATTTTGGTTTGTTTGTTCCGGCAACTTCCTTCTAATATCGGATTTCGTTATCTCATGTACCAAATCTTGCGCTCTGGTCGACATCGATGTTTTTTTATTTCTCGAAGGACCGCGAGTTTTTCTCAACAAAATCGAAAGCTATTGTGCGATCATTGGTCGAGGTAAATCATAGGAATAAATTTGCGAACCAAATTTAATTTATTACAATTATTATCTTTCGTGTATGCTTTGATCATTCTTATCGTCACCTAAAATAAAAAGTATAGCCTACTGTACAATATCTTTGCTACTGCCTTTGGCTATTTTTGCGATAAAATTTCTGAAATTTAGTCACTGCGTTAAAATGCGTGCATATTGCGTTCAGATACTCGCAATAGCTTTGTGCAATCCAAGCGTTTAATTTCGCGACGCGTGAATTCTAACGTAATTCAGAACTGGTATATATATATTTAAGTTTGTGGTCCGCAAATAGTTTCCTGATTTGAATGTGGCCCATGGCAATAAAAAGACTGGGCGTGCCTGGTCTACACTATCTTTTATTTTCTCTTTTAATCTAATACAATATGTGTGAAACCCTTACTAAAACCTGCAAAAGTCTTTCTATATCTACTTATTTTGTAAGATTTTAAACTTTTTATAACGGAAAATCTGCTTACATGCTTTCGAACATTGATAAAATTTTCAAGGCAAAATCTTAACCTTGGAAAATGCTCATTGCTCACAAGATTCTGAAATGCTGTTTGAAATTCCTTTGTCACCGACACACCTTGCCGACATTCCAAGAAAGCATTGTGGTATTTTCCCTCTAAAATCCAGTTAAAAATCTGTTTGATTTCGTCAGCTCACGTTTACAAAATAACCTACAAATAACTGCAGATTGATTGATTACCAAATATCGAGGTACTGAAATTTAAATAAAATAATTTTCTGACATATAGGCATCAGTTTTGAAATACTGTTTATGCTGGTTGCAAAAAAACACCCGACTTGAATTATATTGTTAAGCCATAACATTAATATTTAGTTATCATACATAGCCAACCTAGGTTAATAGATTCCGCATTTACTTTCTGGTTAATTTTATGGCGAAACAGCACAAAATGCGACTTTTCATTACTCTCCGAATGCGACGCGGGCCACAGATAATGAAGCGGCGGGCCACATGTGGCTAGAAGCGTTCAATAAGACTCAACTTGGACATTCTTTTACTTTTTTCTCATATGACATTATGGATGATATTTTACTGTATTGCTTTCCTGGTGTCTTAGTTCACTAAATCTACTATTTCCCACTACTTCTGATTTACACAATTGTAAGCACCGATATGACGCTCGCTCTTCCACACTATATTTTCAATGACAATACGTTACTGGTTATAAAAGGAATTACGTGCGTCCCTAAATACGCGGCTCTGTAGCTGTCAGCGCTTGAATGAACTATATTGAAAAGGAGATTGTAACTCGATCGTATAGTCAAAATAAATTTATGAATTTACTGTGATTGTAGTGTGATATCGATACCAGAATACCGAGTAATGGTTATTTTCCAGAAAAGCTTTGAGGTGCAGAACAACGATTCCTATATACAGTATTCCGGTCTCATGTAGTTTCGTACCTAACATACTTCTAGTGGGCGTAGCATGATTCCCATGATTCGCAACGATTCCTATAGGAGAGAGATCGATAATGTCAGTCAGTTATTTATCGTCGGCGCCAATGCCATTTCGGGCGATTGTACGTATATTCGGCAAGCTCTATAACGTGATTGTGATGTCGTAGTGACGTCATTTTTGACTGGCGTAGACAGATGAGGGTGAGGATTGACATATCAAAAAATTGTTATTCTACGCCCACTAGAAGTACGTTAGGTACGAAACTACACGAGATCCCTGTAAGGTTTCGTTTTTTTATCAATTTTCTGAATTTTTCGTATAT